TTTTTTTTTTTTTTTTTTTTTTTTTTTTTTTGGTTACTTTACTTCTGACGGGAAGAAGAAAAAAGAGAAAGAAGAAACAAGTAAAGGGTTTGTGAAAAAACCGAGATGACAATAGATCAGACTGACACAGATCAGAGCTTAAAAATAATTGGCTCTTCTAATCAAGCATCGATAAACAGGCATTTTTTCGATTTTCACCGACATATAGTTGGTAAATTTTCAGGTGTTTTTCTGTGCATTCATTTTGAACTCTGATATCACCTGGCTGAAAAAAAGAAACAATGTTTTAGAAAACAAATCTGAAATTACAAAATACTGTAACCGATACTGCCTCATTTTAGCTTTTCTTAAGTGTTCTTGATTGTCACATTAATTTCTTTTTTTCCTTATTCATTCTGCAAGAGAATATTTTTTTTCTAATGAAATGATGATGCTAAAAAAGTTTGTCTAGGGATGTGAAGAGAAGACAATGAGAAAAAAGCTGGAATTGACGCTATTTATAGCTTTGATAAGAATTTGTTGCCGTTTTTGGTTCTTGGTCTAATTTCATCTTTTTCATTCATTGGAGCTGTAGATTTCCACTTGTCTGCAGGCTGAATTGTGATATTAAAAAGGTAAATTTTTGATTCAAATCTTTTATTTATTAAAAAAAAGTCTTTAACAGTCGTATCTGACGTCGAGTGTTTAAAATTAAACTTGAATAAAAAACAGCGGTAGTGCCAAATAACAGCTTTATCTCTTTTTTTTTTTCGGTTAATATTTGTCAATTTTTTATTTTTTATAGCAGTTGTATTTACAAGCAAAAAAAAGTTTGTTGTTAATTAGATTTACACGGAAACTTTTTCAGTTTTAATATCTTTTTAATTGCATTGATTTCACTGAAGCATATGTTGAAGAAATTTTTATTAAGCCTTATTTTTCGTTTTGCTTTTTAGTGCCATCAACGTAAGTCTGTCTTTCTAAGAATTCTTTAACACCATTGGCAACAACAACAAAATACGTATTTTATGCTTCATCACTTTACGATACGTAACTGTTTAATTTGTTAAATATTTTTATTAGAAACAAAAAATGAAGAAAACGTTTTTTTTTTTCTTGTCGTAAGATCAGGACTTAGAACAGACAACAAACATCAAAGATGACTCAGAAATTCACAAACAACAGATTTTCAGCAATCCACTGTAATTACAGTAGTTCTAAAAGTTCTAAGAATTTTTCAAAACAGTAATGCCATCTAAGAGCACTGACAAAACAAAAGAAAAGGACGTTTTAGGTGTTTACAAAAAAATTTAGTTGCTTTTAACAGTTTTTTCTTTTTGCTTTTATATTTTGTTAATTTACCATTTTTTTATTGCAAAGGAAAGAGGTTAAAAAAAGAAGAAAAAAGTTGATCATAAACTTGGAGAAGTAAAGATAATATGGTACGAATTTGAGGTGTGAAATATATGATGAGATTATCTTTGCAAAAAAATAAAACAAAATGAAATAAAAGATAAAAAATAAAAATAAAAATAAAAATATGAAAACAAAATAAATAGGTAAACTACTAAACTGGTGATCACAGGGTAAACTTCTCTTCATTGTTTTTTGGTAACGGCGTCAGTTAAGGTGATAGTGATGAAAGTTGGCGTCAAAACAGTTCCTTTGTTTGCAAATTAACAGTTTTTTCTTCTCTTTCTTTTATATTTTATTTATTTATTTATTTATTTTTTCAAAAGAACTGACTTAACTTACAAAATATTTTTTTAAATCCATTTATTCATTGTTAATTTATTCACCTTTGATTTAAAGTTTTGCAGTAAATATCACAACGTTTTGCTTTTTTCTCATATGTGCATTAAAAAAAAAAAAGGAAGAAGAACGAATAAACAAGTACAAACTTAAAAATTGTGATTCTTTTCTTTTTTTTTTCACCTAGTGATCAGAGAATTATGGCTGAATTTTAGCAAAAATACTTATTTTTTAATGAAAACAATTTAATGTATTATAAATTGTTATTAAAGGTTCGTCCAGCAAACAGTTAAACGCATTATTCAACCAGATTTACTTGTGAGATCTAAGGTATCGTTTCCTGCTTTTTTTTTTAAAACTAGATAGAGGAAAAAACTAGACTGAATTAACTAAATAAAGGTTTGAACAAATGTTGATTTCCAATGTGATATCGATGGGTCAGTATCAGGGAAATACTTTCGCTGCCGCCATGGTGGTGATGGCTGTGGTGGTAATGGAGGTGGTAGTGGTGGCGCTGCTGCTGCTGCTGCTTTTGTATCCATCCGTCGGCCTGAGCATTATTGCCTGTCCTATCCGATACATTAAAAGCGTTAGCCAATCTGCACCACTGCAGTCGGCAGAAATCGTTTTGGCAATCCGTGCCTCTTGCTCGGCTTGCTGCTTGCCACTCAGCAGAAAGACAGATACAGACCAAATCCCGACTTCTTTGTTGCCTTTGTCCATTAAACTGCAACGATACAACAGCGGTTGTCGTCGTTCGGTTTACCACTGATAACTTCAGAAATGTCTGTTTGTCTGTATTTTTGGTCTATTAGATTTCTCCTTTCTTAACTCTTTTTTTTTCAGTCTACTATAATCGACGATTTCCTTTTGCGTATGTTTAACAGCAGTATTGTTTTCTGCTTTACCTTGCTCATACATACTTTTCTTTTTATTGTTTTAAGTCACTTTCAATAAGATTTTTATTGCTTTTGATGTGTTCAATCGATTAGCGACAACCACCATAATTTATTTTTATTCATTGATATCTCGTTTGCAAAACAACCGTATTCGCATAACCGTACACAGGAAAACTCTGTGGCTGACGGCTTAGCGTTGTAATCAGGATATTTTTCTGACAGCCTTCCAACTTTATTTATCGTTCACAAAAAACTTTTCACAATAGCAATTATTCATAAATTTGAAAAAAAATTACGCTGGTTCCTTCTGCACCATTTGGCTTTTACTATCTGCTCAATTTTCACTTTCTACCTGATTATACAACGAGTGTTTTTTTACACTTTTTAAGGCGCTTTTCACCTCAAAATTTTGCCTGTGATGAGCAAAAAACCCAACACATTTATTTTGCTGCTATGAATCAGTTTTCTGCTATTTTCGGAGATTGCGGAAAGAAGAGTGCACGAATTTGAGGAAATGAAGTCCGAAATTAATTCAAATGTCACACTTCTTTTAACCTAAGCTCTGCTAATCAGCCGAGAAGTTTAGAAAAAAGCATTAGTGTTTTCTCATTTTCCATTCAGATATTAATTTGAACGAGACAACTGCTTTGTGCAGAAACTCAGAACTCTTATATCTTTTCATTGTTCGAGCAAACCGTAATAATTAAAGTAAATTCTAAAAAACGTTCTCTGAACCGTACACGACTCGTATCGGACCGATGTATGGATACTACTGTTTTCAAACCCCTCCATCAAAAGCCACAGCTTCAAATACTAACGTTCTGCCCCTCCCTTCCGCGTGCCCACCTCGAGTCTCATCAACACTGTCTCTTCACCCCTCCTCTTGAAAAACGTGTTTTCTTCGTATTTTTCCCGTAATTTTTCTAAACTTTCGAAGACCTTTTGACCAGTGTAGTTTTACCAAACAGTTGTCATTTAAAATGAATTGGAAACGAAAGTGGGATAACTGGAAATTTAGTTAAACGGTATAATATCTTTTAATTACTCTGACGACGCGCAGCGAAAGCAAAACAAACGTTTTTTCCAATCTACAAATAGCGTGTATAGCGTAATAATGCATATGACGTATAGTTTATAATATGCATGTTAAATATAAATATATATATGTACACATATATTAAAAAATAAATAAATAAAGAGACAAATAAATGTTTATAAATGAATAAATATCAAAAAAATATAAATATAAAAACAAGTGTAAATAAATAAATAAATAAACATAAATAACCAATATATATATATATATATATATATATATATATATATATAATATATATATATATATATATATATATATATATATATATAAACAAAAGCTGTTTGATAAACCAAAAAGTTGTAAGGATTTTGGGGACGACCACAAACAAAAATACGCACTCTTAAGCACAGCACCTATATATATATATATATATATATATATATATATATATATACGTATATATATATATATATATATATATATATATATATATATATAGATGGATAGATAAATAGATAGATAAACAGATAGATAGATAGGTAGATAGATAGATAGATAGATAGAT